TGGACGACGGTGATGAAGTGGAATTAGCGTGTGAGATATTTGACCACCTTCCCGCCCTAAGTAGTTAATACAGGCAGCCATTCCATCCTGCCCCTGGATAGTCAAGCTGAATATGCTTGAATTTGTATTTCGGTCTCAACCCCAGCTTTAGTTGGACAATATCGCTATACAGTAGCTGTATATAGACCCACCTTGGACGATGCACGACTGTTCTAATGTGTTGATGGAAGTAAGGAAAAACGGTCATTCACACGTGAAAACTTATGTCACTGGTCAGAAAAGGTTGTGCTTTGATTGGGCTGCCGATGAAGTTGCTGAATTTTCTGTTAGTGAAATGTGAGCCACGAGCGCGTTTGATCGAAGTAAAGTGATTTGTTGGCTTTCCGTCAACGGTATACCGTAAGCTTATGACACCGATAATTGACAGATATATTGACTGTGAACAAAATTATCCATTGATAACATGTTAAAACTGTATTTTACAGTGGAAAATGTTAATCTGGCGAATTTACAGTTTCCGCGGTTTTACTGTCGCCTGGTGGGGTTGTCAAAATTGTAAATAATCCGAATAGAACTACTACACCATTCATCCGATTTCGTAGGCCCAATATACAAACATCAAGAGAGGAGTAGGACGGCCATCGCATTCACACCAGGATATTGAACTTGGTCGGTATACAACTGCCTATATATATGACGAATGGCGAGTGATTATCCGAAATCGTAGGCCACACAGCTGACGCTGAAAACGGCATCGATAATAGGATAAAAACCGTATTGTACGAAGTCAATGGCGCCGATGACGATCCTGCAGCGGCAGGAAACGTCGCTAGAGGACATCATCGACTCGTGCCTCGCAGACAGCACGAAGGAGCGATATGAGTCAGGACTTCGCCAACTCATCAAGTGGATACACTTGACCGGTGGTACAGACCTGCTTAAAGACGACGGCATGATCGACCTGCGCGTTTTCCAGTACATACACTTCGTCCAATTCATCGTGTGGGTGTACCAAAACACACCCGTCAAGGTCGAAACAATGTCTGGGTACCGTGCTGCACTGCGGTGGTACTACAAGCGCGAAGACGTTGCGATGCCTGTGGAGTACTCAACCAAGCTCAAAACCAAATTTACAGGTCTGCCAATGTGCGTCATCCTTTACGGTACTCATACGACGTCGAACCTAGGTATGCACCGCTTGACAGCAACTGACGAGCAAACATTGACCCTCAAGGAATCGGGCAAACGGCCGCTTGGATTCAGCATGTACGAAGCCCTGTGCCAGGAGTCACTGAAGACATCCGACAGCGGATTTGTGCACCTGTACCTCGTGATCTCGTGGAACTTGATGGCGCGCTCCAAGTCAACCGAGACTATCCACATAAAGCGGACCATCGGTCATCAGCGTGTGTTTGCGGTGCGGATGGTCGCTGGGAAACGTCGTGGAACGGTACATGAACTACGAAAAGGCTGGTGACCAGTTCGTTGGCCGTGTCGTTGCAGCCCTACCGCTCAATAGCGCAGACTTTGCCGAACTACCACCCTACTTCGACAGCACTGACAACCCTGTAGTCACAAGCGCTGTCAGGTGCATGTTCCCAGTTCTGTTCAAGACAGGGTCACTTATCGGCGTCCTGAAGCTCGGTTTGGCATCCATCGTACACCACGCAGACTATCTGCGCACGGCCCTCCCGGCAAACCATCCAGTCCTCCACACCGCGATCTTTCGAGACAACGCCATGATGTCAAGCCTCAAGGTGTTTGTGCGCACGACGTCGGCGACGCTGAAGCCAACAGGTTTGCCACCCTATGTGGAAATTTACCGTCAGCTCCACACCCAACAATTGACTCTGGCAACCATCACGAGCGAAGTCGTTGCTGGTGTTCGGAACCTTTTGGACGAAAAGGAGCTGGCGACGGGAACAGTGACTTCAGCCTACATCGACAAACTCTTCTCGTCCATCATGGAGCGACTTGCAAGGGGCACGTCTGCACCTGAAGTGACGGTGGTGCACCACCAGCATCCACGCCACCAGCACATGTTGTACTCGTGGGGTGGCCGCCAGCACAAGCTCCCGGAGTCGTTCGCCTTCCCCAACGTGGACACAGCAACGGCTTGGGCTCTTTGGTGGCTGGGGAAGGACAGCGAGATCCCCTTCCGCACGATTGACCCGCACGACCTGGACACGAAGAAGCAAAGACGGATTTTGTCAGAATGGCGTTTTTTTATGCATATCCTTTGGGAGTATTACGTGGAGATCAAGGGTACCGACGCGCCGATCGACAGCACAGAGGAGGCAGTTGTCGAAGCGTTTGAGTGCGCTGTGCACGCGCTTGACCCCGTCATCGAGAAGACACCAAACCAACGACAAAGACGTTTTGGACAGCTGATGGTCGTGACCGTCGCTCGCATCATACGCGAGAAGATTGGCGCGAAGACTAAAAGGGCGTATTCGAAGCGTACAAGAAGTTAGGCGTTGTAGCTACATAGTCGGATCAAAATGAAGAATGCAAATGGATTGAATTAGTGTGAACACAAGTGGAACAAGTAGAGGCAAGTGGAGGGAAGTGGAAGCAAGTGGTGACAAGTGGAAGCAAGTGGATAAAAGCGTAGCATTTTGAACCAATCAAAAGCTGTAAGTCACCTGGCCTACGTTTTCCGATGACAATACATTTTTCGTTTAAGTTCAGGTTATTTACGGTATATTTCGTCCGACTCACAACTGATTCACGCCATGTGCGTTATGTTCGCCAACCATTCGATATATTTCGTCCAGACCCTACTTCGTCTCATTATATTTCGACTAATGTCCAGTATATGTCACACTCCCCAGGCGGTATATTTCACACGTTGTTCAATATATTTACTGTAAAATAGCGTATGCTCTGAAGCCCAACTTTGTATGCTGTGACAAGACCAATGGTACTCCTTGTAATTACTTGCGACTATGGATTAACACTAACAGTACCTGTACTAGTATCATTTAAAAGCCCATGGAGAAGAGCCCTGCCCTGCCATCATTTGTGGCATCACTGGACAAGACCAATGTCAAGAAGTTTCTTGCAACAGCACGCAGTCGTGGATGTCAATCATTTCATCCGACAAATTGGACACAAACCAAATGTCCGTCGCTGGAGTCGACCCGCCAGGGTGGTCCTAATGTACGCCACGTGTCACTTACGAATTCATCTATCGAAGACACACCTCTGGGTAGAACTGAGGGTAGCCACTAGGGCGATGGCTTAGTGCCACCGCCCCGCCGCCGCCCTGCGACTCAAACGTCAACTTCCGTTCAAAACGCATCAATAATGTACCTCTGAAACGGTGAGGCCACTGCGCTGTGTGCTGTTTGTAAACAGGGACGACCGACTTTCTCGACGTGCTTGATTGAACATGCTTTGCCGAACAAACCGAATCAGGCGGTTGCCGTACTGGGCTGGCGGCACCGCACTCACATCGCCCATGTCTTTGCATAGAAAGCCCCCCAGAAACCACCGTTGCAACTACACCAAAGCAAACAGAATGACTCTGCTTTGTACCTCACTTCGTACCGTCCATCGCCAATTGTAACGCTGCAGCATGTCAATCACCCCAATGTCGTACATGGTCATGCCATCCTTTGAAGGCACCGCCATGTCCACTCGGTGAAAGCAAGCGTTGGCAGTATACCGCACCCCCACCAAGATGCTACCAAGGTCTTCATACGCATGTATATCCAATATATATATATATATATGGTACCTGTAATCCATAATGCGGTGCTCGGCCAAGAACTGAATGTCATTTTTTAACTGGAGTTTCACCGTGGTGGCGTCGGCGTCTGCGAGTAAAATGCACTGGTGGATGCGCGTAAAGTCAATGTCCATCATGAGCTTGTCGATGGGCTCCCGCATGATGGCGGCATGCATCTTGCCTTCCACTTGGGCGGTCGGGATGGCCTGCCGTCGGTCCGTGTTGCCCTTGAGGTCGTATCGTTGTTGTGGCGGGCCTAGGTGTGCGTTCCATGAGTTCGGCGGCAGGTCCATTCTTGCCAAGTGTCGTGTGTGTACCGTGGATAAATAGGTTTTGCATCACCACAAAGTACATGCGGCGGGTGCCCACGGGCAACGTGATCGAGTGGCAGCCAAAGTACCGACACAAGTAGGACGATTCGTTCTGAACGAGGTATTTGTAGTACTGTGGTCTACACACACATATCTCAGGTACTGTAAATACCGACCTCCCATCAAGCGTATTTGACGTACAGGATGGCGCGAAGGGTGTCGAATTCTTCTTTCGGCACGCTCTTGACCATGAATTGACGGTTGGCTGTTTATATATCCCAATGACGTCAACACCATTATTGTGGTGACCTGTCCGTACCCGTAAAGTAGAAGATGTTGCCGCTTTTCCCTTCCGAGCACACTTCTCGGAGGTTTTCCTCTGCATTGAACGCATGCAAGTACGACGACTGATCGATCCCCGCTAGTTGGCGTAGTGACTGGAACACGGACGGGGCCACGTCTTCAAACACGAGCGCGTCCGCCACAGTGGCCGCCGTGCCGCCCCAGAACGTGATGCGCTTGCGTTCGACCGTAGCAAAGTCTTCGGGAACGCGGTTCGCCGACGTCGGGTGGTCGCTCGCGTCTCGCGCCGCCACGGACACGATGCCCATGCGGGTGAGGTCCATGACCATCTTGCGCAGCTCGGCGGCGATGTCCACGTTAAAGTTGGCGGTGGATTGCATGCGGGGAAAGGGGGGGTCTTGGGGGAGGGGCTGGGTGTGGGGACCGGCCTCGTCGATGTCGTCTAGTGGGGACAAGATCGTCGGCTGTTGTGCATCTTGTGGAGGAAGACCCCGGCGACGACACCCCCCCGAATCAAAGTAGAACAGCACAAACAACACGGTGGTGCTGACGATTCCGACCAGCTGGTCCACGTACGACGAGTACACGAGGGGTTTGCCGTTGGACACGTCGGCGACGTAAATGCCCAAGTGTGCAATGCCAGACGCGCCAAAGACCACGAGGTACGGCACGATGAGCTTGGACATGCGACGGGTCGTGGCGTGGATGGTCGTGGTGAGCTGCCGCGATTTGGCCCCCGCGGCATGCAGTGCAAACATGATGTAGACGAGGGATCCATATAGAGGCAAGTGGGTCACCATGCGGAGATGGATCTCGGGCACGGCTTTGGGCTGCTGGTACACGGCCACGTCGTAGAGAAGACACCACACGCCCGCGAGCGGCCACGCGAGGGTGTGGTGGATGAGGCTGTTGGACTGGAACGGCAGAAACGGATTCGAAAGCGACGAGATGAGATCCATGGCCAGCATGAGGTACCAGAACGTGGTCGCTGACGCAAAGTACAGCGTGCCCCAGTACAACACGAGCGTCGAGTTGGACTCGGTCTCGTGGTGGAAGTCGATGCCGACGAACGAGGGAGCATCTGGCGTCACGAGATGGGTACACGCACGAAACATCATGTTTAGGCAACTAGACAATATCAGACACACGAGGACAGGGCCTGGGTGTGCGCGCGCTTTGCGAGTGCGCAGAAAGAACGCCACGGTGCAGCCAAGGACGACGATGGCCATGGCCAAGCTGAGCACGTGCCACGCCAACATTGGAGACAACATGTGGTGGCGAGGAAAGCAATAATGTTAGTAAATTACATGGAATCAATCCATCAAATGCAAATCTCGTCGGCAGCGAAGTGGACTGAATCCAGAACTCGCGTCCACTTTCATTCTGCGACGGTTCGGATTTTTCACAGTCAGGAATAAGTATGGTGCACGTCATCTATAAACTACCAACTTTTTACAAAATTTTCTGACTTCTATTTCATATTCATTACTCAAATTTTCAGCAAATTGAGACGTAGAATCGACAGATCTCAATGTGGTGAAGGAATTCTACTCTCAGATTCAAATTTGGTGATGAATTGGTCCAGAAATAGATATTTAACCTAGCGGTATTTTACATGGGCGCTTGGATATTTGGCCATAGGGGTGGCCGCTCAAATGTATCTTGATTTTTGTATGTGAATCTTATCCGTATTTAATATCCGGAGGCAGTTGGGACCTTTAACCTCCCACTCCAGTGATAAAACGCATGAAATCGGTATTTAACGTATCTGGGATTTAGGTTTAACTACGTTAATTGCACGTTAAATAATAAAAACTCCACTCTTCGATTTGGCCAGTTGGAAGTTTTTAGATGAAGTGCACCATACCACACTAAATAGCATCGGTTTCTTAACTCAAAGGTCGTGGGTTCGATCCCCGGCTTCCCCGGATTATTTCCGCAAGGATTTATCCGTCCCTCCCGTGGGGAATCCGGATAACAAGGGCCGCGTACGAAGACGAGGACCGAACTTCGAAGAAGATCGGTCGAAGCACGAGGTATGAAGCGTTGAGCGAAGTAAAAACCGAAGATTACACACCGCCCCTGGTCGAGCAGGCGCGTTACAATTGGCGAAGCGGTTCCATAACATGTGGTTCTAGTGTCGGCCCTCGCGGAGGAATGTCTTAAAAATGATTATCCAAACTCAATTAACCACACTAACAGAAAGAAATAGGTAGTGTTACTAGTGCCATTAGTACTACTATTAATACGTAGTAATAGAATTACCGAGAAATAGTATTACTGTAATTGAAATCCTTCACACTATTAGCAGTAACAATAATAATAATATAATGGATGGTTTAAATATTTGACAAGGGTGGGACGTTCGATTTTCGTACATCAGTCCAGATCGATCGATCCCTGGGTATGTCGGCAGAAGACGAGCAAGAGCTCAAACTTCTTGCCGATTGGGAACAAGTACGGTACTTGGCGGTGCGAGAACAGTGAGATTCATGAAGTCCTTGTGTAGGAAGACGATCTGCAGGAGCTCCGAAACGACGTGCGCAAGGTAGCGGACAAAAACAATAGGTTGTGGGTGATCCGGGTGTATGTGTACATTCCTACAGGTGTGCGAGTTCTTTGTTGATCAACTGCACGACCAGAGCTCACTGCTGACGCAATACGAGCGGACTTTCGATGCGCAGCATGATTCGTGGGACGCACTTTCCCGTCGCCATGCCAAACTTGGCTGGTTGGAGCTCCACCGCCACCTGCTCTGGCTTAAGGATGAGCACGTCGAGGCAACCGCGGGTACATACGAGACCCCCTAGTCGTTATAGCCATCCCCTTACTGATAGCATTCACAGATGTGCAGCGAAAACTCTCGCAGATCCGCGCCGCGCAGTCATGGTCCCCCTTGGACGAAGTATGGTCCCACAAAACCACTTCACCATCATCATCGTCTCCAACAAAACGGTGTAGGCATCCATGGACTCGTTTCCTTCCATCGATGCCATCGTTCGAGTACTGGACAAGCTCGAGCTTCGCATACTCCATCGGTTTTACAGCGGCAATACGCGCACCATGAAGCACGACTTGTACCCCCAGCACGAAGACGTTGCCGTGTGGTACTATCTAGACATTATTCCTTCCATATAGCGTTTAACAGTTAACAAACTTCACAATATACTAACTGTAGGTCTGGCTTTTACTTTGGCATGCACTTTGGGATGATGGTCGTGCTGTTCGTGTGGGTTATATGGGATAGCGTCATCGACGACTCCAAGCACCACAACCTGTGGGAGTCGTCCGTCATGGCCGTGTACCGCGCCATCGGTACACACCCATGTTATGGCGCTGGTTGTACAAGTTTATACATGTATAAACATGTAGGTGTACTCGTGCTGCTGCTGTGGTGCTGGTGTGTCCAAGTGTACGTGTTCACGAGGTTTGGCATCCCATTTGTGGCCATCTTCGACTGGAAACCCACAAAGTCGGTGCAGTTTGTGTCGCTGGTCCGCCACGCCGTCAGCGTCACGATCGCCTACCTCGTCAACCTCCTCGTACAAGAACTACTCTCGTTATAAGCCGCTCACAAGACATTTGTAGCTGTACTACAAGGCGTTGCGGGGCGACCTGCCCACCCTCGTGCCGCCTTGCGTGTTTCCCCTGCTGCTGTATCTGTTTTTGCTCATAAAGTTAGTGTACCCGTTCAAGCAACGCCGGTCCCTGCTCACGACCATGTGGAGGTAGCAGAACGTACTTCCCCCATCATCCTTCCCCCATGCCAACAATAGGTCGAACGATGTAGGGTCGTAGCATCTCCGTGGTCGATTGTGCGCTTTCGCGAAGCCTACGTCGGCGATATCTTTACGAGCCTCGTGCGGGTCTTTGTGGATTTGGCGTGGTCGAGTTGCTATTTCTTTTCCGGTTGGTCTTATACTTACATGACTGTATGATGTTCACGGCAATGTGTGATGGGGGGATGGTGGTGGTGGCAGGGGCGTTCGTGGAACCCAGCCCAACGGGCCTCGACGTGTGCACTCAGAGCCCGACGTTCCATTGGATGGCCGTGCCCCTGTTGTCAGCTCTGCCACTGGTACAGTACACACCAACACTATGCATGGCCTATGACAAGTGATCTTGACGATCTGCCCATCATCGTAGTGGTGGCGCTTCTGCCAAAACATCCGCAAGTACAGGGAAACTCACCGCCGGTTCCCGTACATTCCCAACGCCATGAAGTACGCGTGTGCGCAGTCGGTCGTGCTTTTTGCCGTGTTCCACCCCCACTGGAAGCACCCCGACGACGACCACATGACAACGTACCAGGTGATATATATATATATATATATATATATATATATATATATATATATATATATTAAACCAACAGGGCGTAGTGGTGCTATCTGGCCGCTTGTGGCGTCACCACCACGTACCAGTATGCGTGGGATGTATATATGGATTGGGGGCTGGGGGGCCAGCAGGGCTTCCTTCGACCTCGTCGACTGTACCCCACATGGACGTACTATGTAGCGATGGTGGTCGACTGTGTTTTGCGGTTTGGGTGGACCTTGACGTTGATTCCAGCCAAGGGGTATGGCCCATTTCCAAGCAACGTCCAAGTAGGATCGATCGAACGTTGGCTTATTGGATTGAGTGCTCCATATTGGATGATGGATAGGTGTACTTGGATCCGATTTTAGCGTCTGCTGAAGTACTTCGACGGAGCATGTGGGGGTTGTTTCGCGTCGAATACGAGCACACAATCCACTTATCATGGACCGGCAAGACGAGTTTCGTGGAAGAGGACGCCTCGACGGCCGACGACGACGACGACGACAGGTACGACGTAGTGCGCATGACGTTCGTGTCCTGGATATGTCATCCAGTGGTTGTAGTGAGGACGACGACGAGGGAGATGCAACGTATTCGTGCTGGGTACTCGTCGAGATTTTAGTCGTGGTGACGCTAGTCCTGGTCGTGGCTGCCGTCGCAATCCTCACTCGATAGATGATCTCGTCAACAGTAGAAACATCGACAAGTTACTGTTCTAGTAAGATTCTTCATATACTCGACGCGCTGGCTGTAATTTTGTCCATTTCACGCACGACCACCTACAATTGTCATGTGTGACGCTGTCAAGGTGAGGTTGCCCTACTTCTGCGGCAATGTCGCTGGCTCGACAGGGCGTGGTCGACGTTTCGTCAGACTTCCACACCGCTAGCTGACTCAGGGCGGCACTCACAAGCACATCGTCATCGGCGTGGCTGCTGCTTCTTGCTGGTGCGTTGAAGGCTTTCCTAGAGAGATATATAGGTCATGCCTAGTATAAAGTACATTCTGTACGACAAGGCGTGGGCAAGGCTGGCACTTGTGCATTTAGAAAACACGAGCTCGGGGACAAGTTCCCGATCGAATAGGATGTTGGGCAGCGAGACGAACCGGACCCGCGCGACGGCGGCGGCGATCACCTCGGTGAGCCAGTTGGCCCGATACATGACGACTGTGGGTGTGCCGGCCAAGAGACTTTCGATCACAACTGTGCCAGACACGGCCACTGCCACGTCACTCGCCTAAGCAAGTCAAGTGTTAATCGAACGAACGATGATTCAAAAAATAGAGTGGCCATGCGCCTATGGCACCTGCAGCAGCGCCGCCGTGTTGGCTTGGACGTGGATGGCATGGGGGATGGCCCACGAGTCTAGATGTTTGCGGAGGACATGCGCGACGGATGGGATCGTTGGAAACACAACGCGGACCTATCATCAGCACGTTGTCACAGAAGTGTGTCTGTGACGACGCTCGTACTCGAGTGTTGTGCTGACTCGCAAATGATTCGACGGCGCGCTTGACAAGGCCGATCGTCTGCTTCACTTCGTCCTCTCGACTAGCCAAACAACGATCCATGACGCAACAAATAGACAGGCGGATGGCGTCGGCCATACCTTCCGACCAACGCGGCAATGGCAAACTCGTCTGTCCGACGTTGCCTTGGATGATGGCGACGGGCATGAACGATGGCAGTTTGCATGGGCCATAGGGCGGGGGCTACTGGTTGCAGCCACTCGCTCGTCATGGACAGCGACTCCAACTCGGTCGTGATGGAAGGAGGCACGACAGATGACAGGAGATCGTGGCGACGGAAGAGGTCGTGCGCGTCCATGAACGTCTCCACGGACGGATGCCCCACAAACGTCGTCCACGTGCGGTGGTGGTTGAACAGGCGCGCTTCGAACGGCAGCAGCACGAGCATGTGGTCGATGAACAGGCCAAGCGACTGCGCGGTGGACGCAGCGTTGCGATGTTTGTGCTTGAAGGCCCAGATGGACGGAGCCACGTAGTGCACGATGGCTGGCGGGCGGTGATCCATGCGATTAGTAATACCTGGAAGGAATAATAGATCGTTTGGAAATAGAAGGTCGATCGATGGAGGACTACCTACCTTGCAACGACTTGAGCACGCGAAAGCAGAATCCCTTCGAGTCAATGGTCACGACGGCGTCAGGCTGGCTCTGTCGAATGTCCTCAACAACGTGGTCGTGGTGGCGCTACACACAGCCGCCTCGATCACATGCAACAGACTTTAATCCCTTGAGGGCTACCTTGATCGCAAATAGCTTGGGCAAGACCTCGACAAGGCCCATCACAGATAACTCTTGTATGGGAAACAGCGACGAGAACCCACCCGCCGCCATCATCTGTGGTCTATACACATCAATGAATCCACAAAGTACCTGCAGCGAGCGCGACGACGTCTACTTGACGTACCCACCGACACCACGGAACTGAAACGGACCATCTGCATGACGTCGATTCAATGCGCGAATGAGTTTACCGCCAATTGCGTCGCCGGAGGCTTCTCCTGCGACCACATACACCAACCGCTTCGTTGCCGCCTTCTTCATGTGCAAAATTGAAAGACCAACACTCTGCCATTCCTTCTTACGTTCAAAATGGCAAGGTGGTACTGTTATGTCCTTCTCATGTGTGAGGCTTCAGATGGGCAGGCAGCAGCAGGTTATTGTACGTAGCGTCTTCGTGAAGGGTTAGCGACAACTCCATCGAGTGCAGATCTTCCACGGGTACGGCAGCATCTCGCCCTTTTTATCCGGTGAGAATCGAAGAATGGCGGTCGTTTTCCGAATATGTTGAATCCCCTTGCAAAAATAGCCAAACAAACGACTCACCACGAAGAACGAGCGAATCCTGCGGCGGTTTGGCGATGGACAACGATGAATTTGACGAACATGGAGATCTGCATGCGTTAGATGAGCTGGATATACAGCTCCCCACGACCGGATATGGGCGGACCGCCATGAGTACAGGCGGCGTCGACGGCATCCGGCAACCTCAGCGCCCCACCATCTGCCACACTTCTGTCGTGGACCTGTCATACTCGCAAGTGCTGGAAACCAAAAGCAAGCACAGGAATCACAGCAAGAAGCGCCTCAACTACACGCGCCCACTGTCGACGCTGAGCGAGACCACGTCCGACGATGTACCCAAGGACGACGTTGCGAAGGCAGGACCGCACAAGCGGAACGCGTTTGCGTACAATTCCGACGACGTGGACGATCTCGCGGCCGAGCAGCAGGAACAGCGCGCAAAGGAGCACGACGACGACAACGAGTGGTCCCACGGCGACATCTCCCTCCCTGGTGACGACGTGTATCGGTTTGTCCAGCCGAGGCGGCTGTCGTCGTGGGTGCAAGACGACGCCGTGTACGCGTGCTTCAAGTGCCACGTCCAGTTTTCACTCATCGTCCGGAAGCACCACTGCCGCGCATGCGGTCGGATCTTCTGCAACGCGTGCTCCAACCAGCGCCTCGTCATTCCCGTCGACTACGAGAGCACGCCCGTGTCCCATGCCATCAAGAACGGATCGAATCACACGTACAGCAGCGTGCTCGTCGACACGACGTCGCATGTGATCGGCAGCCTCGGGTACTATGTGTGGAACTATAACACTGCGACACCGTCGCTCTCGTCGAGCGCAAACGACTTTTCCGAGTTCCACGCGACGTCGTCATCATCGTTCGATGATCCTACCGAGGTAGCCTATTCCTTCTACCTTCCTTCCATGGCCTCCTACTCATGCCTATCTGTCTCATTCTTCTGGGCATTAGATGCAAAAAACACCAGCGGAACTCGAACGAGAAAAGTTTTTGCGCGCCATGACGTCGCTCGAATCCCGCGGACTGGTCCGGTTCACCGCCGCCGCCACGTCCGGCCGAGTCAAGATCAAGCTGCCCCCTCGGATTCCGCCAGGCACGGTCCTCCAGCGCGTATGTGACGACTGCGCGTCGGCGCTGCAGCAACGGCGGCAGCATTACAACACGGTGCAAGTGTTTGAGTTATGTAAGTGGGACATCCAGACGCTGCGGGTACTGGGCCAAGTATGTCGCAAGTGGCACCGGGCGAGCATCATGTGTCTGTCGACGTTCCGACAGGTCCAGTACTACCTGCCGTCGCACCCGCTGTCGGCCAAGGAGCGGCACCTTGTCCTCCGCAACCGCCAATTCCTCGCGGGGCACTCCAAGTGGCTGCTACAGCTCGTGAAAGCAGTCGCGTTTGACAGCGACAACGACGACGACGGCACGACCCAGGACATCCTGCGCCTCATGGTCGCGCCCCGTACCCACAACTGCATGATGACCATGTGCAGCCGCCTCTGCCGCCACGAGTTGGCGTGCGTCGACGCGCTGGAGATCCTCTCAAGCGACTCGATCCAAAATGTGACACTGCGCAACCTGTGCGTAGAGGCGTTGGTGCTCAAGGCGTCGGACGACGACTGGCTCAGCTTCCTTCCGGTCGTCCTGCACGCGCTGGGCGCCGAGACCAGCGTGTCGACGTTGAGAAGTGCGATCGTCCGCCAAGCGACGCGCGACGTCCGGTTCTGCTCGGACCTGTACTGGGGCGCAAGTGTTTTGGCCGAGGACCGGCGGTGGCGGCGCAAGTTCGACGGGTTTCGGCAGCAGTTGCTGCTCACGCTGGCAGCGCACGACAAGCGCAGTGTGTCGTCGTGGACGCAGGACCTGCTGCACGGCCAAGCGTTTCTGGACGTGCTGTGGAACCTCCCGCACCGGGCAGACAAGGACGTCGTGGGGCGCCTCCTCGACACGGCCCTGCGCAGGACGCCCGTGTTTAGCACCCACGAGGAGGGTCTCCGACTGCCCGTGGACCCGCTCGTCAAGGCGCGGGGCGTCGACTTCGCCTCGATCAAAGTCATGCGAAGTGCCGAAGCGCCCATCATCCTCACGTGCACAGGCATCGAACGACCAGGCACATGCTTGGCCGACGACGAGAAGCCGCCGCCGCCGACATCATCGTCCGTGTACCGCGTCATGTACAAGCGCGACGATCTGCGCAAGGACGCGTGTGTCCAGAACATCATCCACATCATGTACTCGATCCTCAAGGCCGAAACCAGACAGTTCAACATTGCCCTGGTCACGTACCGCGTGATTCCAACGTCGAGCTACGACGGGTTGATCCAAATAGTCGAGAATGCGCACACGTTGTACTCGATTGTTCGAGAGCACGGCACGATCATGCGCTTTCTGCACCACTACAATGGCCATCGGGTATGTACAACCGTGTCGCATATACAAACGCTCCACGTCGTCGCATAAACACTCAACGTCGTCGTATTCTTTGTAGACGCTGAGCGACATTTCGTCGTCGTTTCGCGAGTCGCTGGCCGCGTACACGGTGATCACGTTCCTGCTTGGCGTGGGCGATCGGCATGCGGAGAACGTGATGCTGACACAGGAAGGCAACTTGTTTCACATTGACTATGGGTTTATCCTGGGGAAGGACCCGAAGCCGCTGCAGCCGCCCATGCGCCTCGACAACTACATGCTTGAAGCGCTAGGGGGACCGATGCAAGTGGAAGCGTTCAAGGCGCTGTGTGTCGTGGCGTTCAATTGCTTGCGGCGGCATGTGTCGCTGTTCCTGATCATGCTACGACTTGTCGTGGACGCGGTCCCTGAAGTGACCGACTTTGGAGTGAACTACACGCAAGCAGACTTGGACGCGTTCGTGGTGGAACGGTTCTTGCCAGGTACGCATGTGATGGAGTGAGAGATGAAGGCTAAGAGAGGGAGTAGGCCAGACGGACGAAGAAGCCGCGACGGCCATCATGCTTCGCATGGAGGGTAAACTGAACGAGAAGATTGGCCTGACGCTCAGCGATTTTGTCCACGCGCATGCCAGCGAGAAGACCGTGAGCAAAGGAGTGAGTTCCATGAAGGTCGGCGTCGAAAGCATCGGCGGGGCCGTGCAGACTGTCACGAGCTCGCTGTCGTCGAGCGCAAGTTCGCTGCTCAAGTACGTCTGGGGTGGGCCATCGTCGGCGCATTAGACTCTTTCGTGGCATCGTGTGGGGACACGTTCTGTAAAATCGAATAACCGGTGAATTTAAATAGTGGCAGATCGGGCAGGTTCGTTCTTCTTATAAAATGCAAGATATTTGTGAGTGTTCAAGGCAAAGGTGGTCTCCTAAACTTTATATAATATTCACACTCAACCCAGTGGACCGCACAATTCCATTGAACAGCACAACAACGGTGGCATGGCGGCACTTCCCGTGGACACATCCCAGACTGACGCGCTGAACCTGCAAGTCCTCCAGCGTCAAGACAACCAGATCAGCGACATCGTTGGCACCGCCAGCCATGTCGTCGTGTACGAGTTTGACCAGACGGAGCAGTCGTGGGTACGCATGCATATACAGTACCTCATGCTGAAGTTGAGAGATGATGCTGAACAACGACCGTCTTCACGACAAGTAGAAGCGAAAAGAAGTGGAAGGCAGTTTGTTCATCGTGAAGCGGTACGTAGGTTGTGATGGCTGATGTGCGTGTTGAATACCATCGTCTCGACGCAGGTACTCGGCACCGAGGTTTCAAATGTTTGTCAACAACCGCCTGAGCACGTCCAACTTGACCATTTCGATCGATGCACAATTGAACGTCGACAACGTCGACGATTTCCTCATCCTTCGATGCGTCGATCCGGTATGTTGTGACGACGTGTTGTGACGAACAATTGCGAGTGCTGCCTTGGAATCGTGCATGATCGTAGTTGGACACTGTTGTGTGTAGGCGGCCCCATCGACGTTCAAAATTTATGGTATTTGGTTCTTCCCTGAAGAAGATCGACAAAAGACCCTGAAACTGTTGGAGCGGTACACACCCCATCCAAGTTCCCATCCATCATCCCGTGTCCATTCGTTCGTTAGGGTGCTGGTCACGTTGAAGGGCACGCCTCCTCCCGCGGCAGCCAAACCGTCTCCGAAGAACGCGGCAGCCGTGCACCAAAAGGGTGCCTCTCGTCAACCGGCGCACGAAGTACAATCGGAATCGAAACCCGTTCGTATCTATCCTCTTTCCCAACGTGTCAACTAACGGGTAGCTCGTTCGTTAGCTGGCTGCCTCGTCGTCGTCCCAGGGGCCGGTGGAATCGCCTAAGAATGGCGCGTCCAGCACGGTCGTCTATAGCAAGGCGGAAGGAATCGCCGCAGGCGTGGCTATTATGGGCATGATCTCGCAGCAGCCATCTCAAGGCGCGCCGTTGGCCGAGGCCACGACCGTCCAGTTGCAAGTGGCTTCGGGGCAGCCGCAGCCTCAGACGCGACAGAAGAAGCAGCGCGACCGCGCGTCCCCGCGTACTGCCAAGCCACCCCTCACGAAGGACCAATTCAAGGAAGCATTCGTGCAATGTCTCGACGACCCCGCGTTCCTCGATCAAATCTACCAAGCGTTCGCCAAGAAGTTGCCCAAGCAGCAGCAGCAATAAAGCACTTTAGCTGATACGCACACAATGAAACTACCAAAACGATGTTGTTCTTGTCAACTACACCTGGAAATTAGCGGTGTTAACGTCTATAGCTAGCTAGCTACCATATACACCAACCCGAGGGAGGCCAAGAATCGCCCATCGTTGGTTTGCTTTGAATCATCTCGTGTCCCGCAGGAGATCTCGCTTTCGACAGTTTCGTCCGTTTCATGTGAATGCATGTTGTCTGTCTCCTAACGCACTTCCATTGCCGAGTTATCTATATCAACAACGTTCCTCGAGCTGGGATGGCTCTTCGTGGGTGGACATGCTGCGCCTTGCTCGTCCTTCAATCGTCATGCTGCCTGTCGTTTACGTTCCCCGTAGAACCCGTGGTCGCCACTCGGCCGTTTGCCCTCCAAGTGGGCTGCAACGGAGCCTTCCCGTATGTGTTTCCAGTAGCCACATCCCCCACGATCGTCCTCTCCTTTCCCGTGGACGACACTTCGGCCGAGTTTGTCTCGTTCAACTTTACGTGGTTGCATCTGCCTCCCAATGATTACCTCCGCGTCCGCACCGCCGCGCCCACCAACACAAGCTACACATACCGAGGGCGCCACCCGAACGGCTTTCTCACCACGCCGCTGTACACTGGCCATGTGTTGATCGACCTCATCTCGTTCGGGTCGACCAACTCCAACTGCAACTATGGCTTTGCCATCACCGAGTACAGATACGCAGCCACTCCGCCAACGAAGGAGTCATCGTGCGACGGCTCCAACTCGGCCGCGTCCCCTGCCTGTGACCAGCGGCCCACTAGTCCGTATTGGCGCGGCGCTCGAGCGATCGTGCGTCTGCTTGTCAACTCACCCGACGGGTCTAGATGGTGCACTGGGTGGCTCGTGGGGTGCCAGAACCACGTCCTCACCAATGCGCACTGCATCGGGACTGCCGACGACGCTGCCGCCACCACGTTCGACCTGCGCGCGTTTGGCAAGTGCAACGAAAACTGCGCGGGCGGGGGCCGGTGTTCCAACGGCAACATGGTCGTCGGGTCGACCTTAGTTGCGACATCACAAGCGTTCGACTACTCGCTCGTGCAGCTCAATACCCCCACGAACGTATCAGCAGGCAACTACCTCCGCCTCCACGAGTCGTACGTCGTCGGGAGCCCCGTCTACATCCCGCAGCATCCCCTCGGAGGGGGGATGGTCATGGCCATCAAAGCCACGGGCGGCCAGTTCGGCCTTGTCTACACGTCCACGTACGCCAACCCGGAGTGCGGCCTCGAGGGGATGTTGGGGTACAAACTCAACACATCACCGGGATCGTCTGGGGCGCCGATCATTTCCACGGCCACGAATGGCGTTGTGGGCATGCACTCGTGCGGCGGATGCGCCGTGGGGACGGAAGCCAGTCTCAACGGCGGCATCCCCGCCCCCTGGATCGTCCAAGACCTGCGGCGGCAGAACGCCCTGCCCAACTGCGCGGTAGCGGCGACCAGTCCAGTCGACCCCACGGTGAACTTTGCGACCGTCCGCGGCACGCTGTACGCCTCCGCTAGGGGCGTGTCGTTGGACGTGTACGAACTCCAAGTCGATTCCGACGGCGTCATTGCCGTGGACGTCCAGTCTGTGGAGGCCACCGAGAGGAGGACCTTCACAGATATAGACCGCAACTGTGACGCGTCGTACTTTGACTCGAGAGTGTTTGTCGTGGACGCGGGCACGGGGGCCGTGGTGGCCGAGAACGACAGAAGCGTCCGGGGGAACGGCCGCGCCGACAGCAGCGTCAGCGACTTGGACGCGTTCGTCAACATGTACGTGGATGCGGGCGCGTACTACATCGTGGTGGGCACGACAGACATGACGGACGTGGACGCACGAGCTGCCGCGGTGGCATTTGCCCGAGGAACTCCAGCGCACGCCACCGGAACGCTCTTTGAATGCGGCCTTCCCACCGCCGCGCACGGCCATTACACCCTGACTTTACGAACCAACATGGACGTCGAGAGCATCACGTCGTTCAAAACACCCGACTCGGGTCTACCTAGCACTTGCAGCAAAGCCACACGGTTGGAGCCACTGCGTTTCCCAGCAAAGTGTCCGTACCATGCCCGACCGCCGTTGGCCCTCCAGTACATGGTTGACGGAACGATTCATCAACGGAATGGAAGTGTCTCGATCGACCAAGTGCCGTTTGAAGTGGTGGAGGCCGCCCATATTGGGATTGAAATCGTTTCGTATCAAATCCTAGACGATGGAACACGCATGCCCAACGGGTACGACGACGCAGGAATCTGCGGCCGGACCTTCGTGGACGCCGTGGCGTATGTGTTTGAAGATACCACCCAAGGCGGTCTGCAGTTGCTCGACACGACCAGACTTGTGGCAATGGTTGACGACAAACCTCCTGGTGTTCGCGCCACCACAAGTCGCAGCAGTAGAGACCCGTACTTGGACCTATACTTGCCCAAAGGCAAGTACGTACTCGTTGTGGGACTGTATCCTCTGCATCTACACGAGACTGTGCGGATGTCCACGTCCATCAAGGAAGGGTTCTCTCCGCACAAGGACGACACGTCGAGCGACGCTGGAAATTATCACGTGATGTTTCTCACAGAGTCGCACGCGGTGCTGTTGCCGCCGACAAGTACACCCACGTTTGTTGAAGAGCCATGTAGTGATTTGTAGCTAAAATACTATTGAAATCATGATTGTTGATTGGTGCATTTATCAAGCAATTTGCTAATTTCATCAAAGATTTCGCATTGAACCTTGGACCATGGGCGACAATTGCATTGACCAAGCAGTCGATGGCAACAATCCATTTGCGCGGTTCGCACGGGGTAGATCCGTGGTATTTGTAGGAGAGGACGCCACCTCCAAGGATTCAGAGAAGCGCATTTGTCCTGAAACCAGCAGTCCGTCGTGCAAACGGCGACGAAAACACTCGGCAGCTGCAGACGCGCCAGCCAGCACCACTCACCTCTCCGTCGAGTCTAGGATGCAAGTATTGCATCGACTTCGAGAAATCCGTCGAGATGGAGGTGCACCTGTTGACGAGTTTGGCACTGACCATATAGTGGACTCGACTGCGCCGCCAAAGGTAACGTTAGCATCCCTCCAAGACATTTCAAATGACATTCATTGCTGATGACAGTGCCAACGGCTGCATGCGTTGCTTGGCGCGTTGCTAAGCACGCAGACCAAGGACGAGATCACGGCCGCAGCCATGCGTCGACTGTTGCAACAACCGGATGGGCTGACCGTTGCGACGCTTCGAGCCATGGCCACAGACGTCCTGGCGGACCTCTTGAGCCCTGTGGGTTTCCACTCGTAAGTGCAAATAAATATCGCCTGTTTGTCCACCATCCCATCACGTATGCATTACGCTAGCACGAAGGCACGACAGATCAAAGCCATCGCCGACATTTTGCACGCGAGTTACAACGACGACGTTCCTGCGACCTTGACCGAACTGGTTCGATGGCTGATTGTGAACTATATCGAATGACAAGGATGGTGCGTAGATGGCCCTGCCTGGAATCGGTCCAAAAGTGGCGCGGCTGACGCTCTTGGTGGCGTGGAATATCGTGGACGGCATCATCGTCGACACCCATGTGCAGCGCATTGCCAAGCGTCTTGGGTACATTCATTTTCACTATGTAGCACATTGCATTTTTCTAGGCAAATAAATGTAGAGATTGCTTGCTGTAGGTGGGCAGGGAAAGGTAAGGACGGCCGAGCGACCGCCGAAGCGACCCGGAAGGAACTGGAAGACTGGATTCCCAAGGATATATGGGGCGACGTGTCCAAGATGATGATTGGGTTTGGGCAGCTCACGTGCTCGGCAGTCAAGCCCAAGTGCGCGTCGTGCCCTCTGGCCGCCATGTGCCCTTCTCGGCAGCAGGCATGACGATGTAAATTCACAAAAACGAAACAAATTGCATTAGTGTACAATCACATGGCCTCTCGATATAACGCAAACAATAGCAGCCCGACGGCGGCGATGGTGAGCCCGGCCAACTGGGCAAGGGCCTTGTTCACAATGTCCTGGGTGGTCTCCACGCTTGGCACGGTGTTCATGTGATGATGCCTGGAAAAAGTGGACAAAGACCATCCAGACCGCAGCAGTCGCTCGGACCGCGTGAGCTTAGGCTCCACCGACACTACCACGTGACTCTTGTAGGCCATGTGTCGTTCCCTGACCCCATCATCATCAGACTCGCTGCTGTCCTCGGTGGACGAGTCACACAACAATGGCTCTCGGAGGTGCTTCTCTTTCTCGTGACTCTCCATGTTCCCCCATCGGATGTTGCGCAAGAGTGCAGGGAAGTACGAGAGTTCCACCATCGGCCAGCGACTGCCGAGATTTTAGATCCAGGTTGGCTGAAAATTGTTCCTTCTGGGACGTTACAGTAACTAAATACCGGCATTTTATTGGTTATAAATTGAGTATTTTGTCCAATCCATTTATGCAGCTTGCGCCACTTGCAACCACTCACGGTGGACCATTAATTATAATGTTTTAGGACGTGAATACGGCGAGGGAGCCGCGGTGCAGCCGTCATCACGTTTTAGTTTGAATGATCGTGGAGGAGCAAGGGCAACTCGCAGCGCAGTCGTGCGCGACCGGTGGAGTTATAGCTCAGATTTATACGGATAACCCTTAGATAGGACCACCCGGACTTATTAAGGACTTTTTCGCCTCGATTTATCCATCAGATTCATGCTATCCGGATTCATAGTAATATCAAAATAATAATCCAAAGCAATATTTGGTATAGTAAAATGAAGTTCCATTATATAATATACATTACATTACCATTTTATTGAACTCAACGCGCAATTTCGACACGGCGGAGCAACGTGATGCGACGGCGGCGTCACAGTGAACTGTGCACATGTACGATAACCCCTGTCGATGCTTAATTGGACCTCTGAACGCCACCGGTAGTCACAGCCCTACGTCGAATGGCCATGTGTCCACCTTACTGACGCCGTCGCCACTACTGTTAACTAGTTATCTCCAAATGGAAAACTCGCTTAAAAGTGAAACTATCGCTCGAGCAAACTACCTTGACATCATCCGGATAATACAAAACTGGAAATAGTGTAACCTGTCAGTTTCAATGGATACAGCACACAAGAGTCGTCCAATCTCTGTCCTGAAACCATAAAATAGTGTTATGTTACCTTTACCTTCGGTTCAATTTCCATCGCCCCAGTGCCTCTCGACATCGTCGTTCCAAAACGCAACGCGACGCTGCCACCGGCGGCGACCCTAAGATGGACAACATTCGAAAGTTTGGCTCAATGGACAATGTCCGGCGATCGCTAAACGTTCCTCGATGGAACTGGGCCGTGGTGCTCGGGATGGGTATGGTGCTTTGGCTGCATGGGGTGACTGTGGGCATGGTGTTCGAAGGCCAGAAGGGTCTTCTGAATCGGTTCCTGTGGACGTTTGTCATCGGTGTGATCCCCCTTGTGCTATTCACGCAGACAACGTCGCACAACATCCGACGCACGGCTGCCAGCCTCGTGTACTTTGAACTCGCGACATTCTGCATGTGCTACAGCAACTCCCTCGCGTGGTTCCGCAACCCCAAGAACCTGTTGCCGCTGCCGGATCTTGGCCACGACATCCTTCCTCTCTGGAAAGACGTGACGGTCTACGACAAGGTGTACCACCACGAAGCTCACAAAGTGCCGGACGTAGTCATGGGCGCCCTCATCGCGTCCACAACTGTCTTCGCCGTGATCCATCCGTTGCGGTGGAAGATCATTCAGCGCTTCTTCATCATCTACGGCTCGCTGTGCATCATGCGCTCTGTCACTGTCATTTGCACCAGTTTGCCCGACAGCGCCGAGAAGTGCCGGCAAATGACTCCGCTTGGCAACCTTGAGGTATGTATATGCAAGCAATCGTAACAAAAATTCCCTGGACGTTCGCTCTAACCATGAATCTGTAGAGCGGGGCTCATGGCTGGGAAGACATTACGATGCGCGCGGTGCTGGTGCGCAGCCTCAAGCTCCTTGTGCCCATCGGAGAAATCACATGCGGGGACATGGTCTTCAGCGGCCACAGTATGCTCATGGTGTTGTGTGCGATGGTATGCTCGTTCGTTTTCTGTCGTCTTGTGTCTGACCTAGGCACCTTGCTTGTGTAGACGTGGCACACGTACTACAAGTGGGTACCTGGCTCGATCAATTACATCAAAGTGTCGGTGTGGCTCGTCACGGTAAGAACTACAACTACACGAATAACGCTACTGCATCTAGTGAGCTCCGTCGCCCAAATCTCGTGTGTTTAGATCTTTGGACTGGTGTCCATTGTGTGGGTGCGCATGCATTACACGCTGGACGTGGTGCTCGCGTTGTACTTTACCGTGACTGTGTGGAGTTCATACCACCGCATTGCCAACGACGTGAAAATTGGCCACCGGTTCTCGATGGTCTGGATATTCGATGCGCTGCTCATTTACCCGTGCATCGAATGGATCGAACGACCCGACGATGACGAGCCGCGCGCGATCCACACGGCCCACGTCGCGTACTCGTCCCACGACCGCCGGCGGAGCAGCAGCAACGTCCAAGGGCCACTCGACAGCGCCGACCATGAGGGGGATGAAGACGATGTGACAGTGCACGAACGGCAGAGCCGATCGCTGCGACCCCGTCGCAGCAACAGCAGCGGCGCTGACAAGGCAACTCCGCGCCGGCGTTTGCCCCGGGCGGTGGCAGCTACCCGACGCATGCCGTCGACCTCGACGCAATAATAGACTGGTGATCAAAGAGGAGTTGTTGTATTAGTAGTAGTAAGAACAACCCTCGTCACAACATGAATCAACTGCACACGTTGACTGGTTTCCACGAGTGGGAGTTGGACTACGAGGCGGTCGAAGTCGACGGTGAGCCACTGGCTACGAGGAGGGCGGTAGGCACACGTGCGTGCCGGCCTTGCACTTGCTTGAGGTACTCGACCTCTTGGCGCTGGAGGATCGGACGGATCGACGGCGGCAACGACTGGCCAAAGTCCACCGAGTTGCCAAAAACGTACAAATGGCGGAGAGCCGTCAGTTGCGTCAGCGACTGTGGCACGGTTCCTAACGTTAAGTTAAAGCAACCATGAAAGCAATCGTAATCATCATGCCGCCGTACCTGACAATTGGTTGGACGAAAGGTTGAGGAATGTGAGATGGAGGCAGTTGCCGAGGCTGGACGGGATCGCTCCTAGAGATTTTAGCGTCACGATCACCTTATCCACGACTAACGACCTTCCAGTGCGTTGTTACGCAGCGACAAAAATTTGAGCTGTGTTAAGTTGCCCATATCGTTGGGGATCGTGCCACTAAAGCAGTTGGATCGGACGTTTAGGCGCTCCAAGAGCAAGAGCTGTGTGGCCGACACCGGAAGGGGACCGGAAAACGAATTGTACTCGAGAGATAGAGTCCTCAGTTGAGTCAACTGGCCCAAGTTTCGTGGCAGTGCCCCTGCACCGAACGGGTTATACGTGGCGACTAGGGCTAACTGACACGCACCGGACAATGCATTTTGTTGCAACGACAGGTGCTGCAGGTGACCGCAGCTGGTGATTTCCACGGGCAATGGACCTACGAACAACGTTGTGATATACTAGTTGATTGGCATTCGTTGGTTGTAGTATGTACTGTACACCTCCGAGATGATTGCAGCTCAAGTCCAAGATTGCCAGTCGACGCAGTTTGCCTAAACTCGCTGGGATGCGACCTAACGTTACGCCGCGATGATTGTTTGCCGCCATGACCATGTAAAATCGATAGGCCCGTACCTCGAATGTCGTTGGACGACAGGTTTAACACACGGAGGTATGTGAGCTGGCCTATCGCCGCTGGCAACTCGCCTACAACAACACATGATGAAGGTGTGATGTTTCGCTAATGACGAACCGATCAAGTGGCTGTTGGGCAGCTCAATGCTCACTACATGCCCCATTTCCACGGTGATCCCTGTCCAGCTGTCTTTGCCATCGTTGAACGGTGGATAGTTGGATTGATTCGGCAACGACGTCCGCGTAGGGCGGAGCTGGTTGGATTTACTTCGCAGGGCAGAAAACAGATCTCGTAGCGCCCGGCTTTCGGCGTCCGGAATGCTCGGACCACTTACGGTTTGGCCCATGACCTGCACCTGTCCTGGGGTATTGAATTGCCGGTTTCACTTTCATTGTCCATTTCATATGAAACCGCAACATATCGCTCCCACCGGGACAACTGGTTTTTGTGTACTGCTGGCACAATAAAAACTTGGTTATGCTTTGCAACTTACATGTATTTGGCAGAACGACGTCAAACCCGCAGACTAATACTAGTACCAGTATTGTGCTTTTCACATATTTTGGCTAATCTGGGTATAAATACCCGCTTTTAACCAGTGGGTGACGAAGTTTTAGATGAATTCAACTTAGTTTTAGCTAATCGGAAGTACCTATGATTGGATGAGCAAGAGCTGCTCCTGCAGCATATGTTGCTAACCTGAAGCGT